GGGAAAGGCATGTGTGGCAAGGGGGGTGGTCCCTGACATACTGAATCCAGAGTTATATGGAAGGGGTGACAAGGACCTCAGCTCTTGCCCTAGAGCAGACAGGACAGCATTGAAAGCCACTGCCCTGACTGAGTGGAGGAGGGGCAGACTCCTCTTCTGCCACCTGCAGGACAGAGCATCCAGGTGTTTCACTCCTCTTGGGTTTTAGCTCTATTACTGCTCCTGAAGTCACTTTCCAAAGAAGCTGGGAAACTCCCTATAGCTGGGAGCAGATCAGAGGCAGTCTCACAACGGTAGTGGGCCAGGTAGCACAGGCCCCAAGATTTCCTGATGCTCCCTTCTCCCTCCCAGGTGCCTGTCATTGTCCTTTCTCGTGGTTTCATGCCTTGTGCCAGGCTTCTCTGGGAGCTAGAGGTGTTCAGAGGCAGTCAGGGAGAGGGAGCCCTCACGTGCAGGGCCAGCCTGCTGAGCTCTTCAGACAGTATTGGCAGTGTTCCTCCTGAAGCCTCTCTGGGCGGCTCTGCACAGGGGTCAGGCCATGTTCCAGGGACAGGGAGCAGCAGAGCCTTTCCCACCAGATCCCAAGTCCCGAGACCTCTGGGCACGAGAGCCTGGACTCTCTGTCTTGCCAAGCTTGCTTTTGTGTTCTCCACTGTCAGTGTCTCCGGGGACATTTTCTTAGCGTCTCTGAGTTCCAGCAAGCAGTCTCTTGGAAGTTCTGAGGAGGAGAGGAAGCAACGAGACTGTGTCCCTGGCTTCTTTGGCCTTTGTCTGGCTTCCCTTACTGTCTGGTTCTTGTTGTCAACTTGCTCGGCCAATTGGAAGCTACTGAATTCTGTCACATGGCAGAAAGTTGACGCCTATACCTCTGGAAAACGTAAAACCAGGATAAGGGCTGGAGAGATGGCTCAGGGGTTAAAGCTGCTTGCTCCATCATTATCCTCAGGTGGGGCTCTCAGATGCCCATACTCGTGTACTATGCTGAGCATTGTTGTGAAGTTGTGAAGCCCCACTGCAGGGTCTAGGAGACAAGAGGCTAGCTGGGCCTTTCCTGGTTCTTGCCCAGTGGAGATGTGCACTCTGGGTTCAGAAAGAAACCCTGTTTTGATGGAGTGTGCAGAGTGATAGGAGAGGACATTTGCTGCCCTCTTCAGGACTTTGTGAAGGGACAGGTGAGCCCAGTGCACACACAAACAGTCTAATAAAGGAAAGGGACCCAAGTCCCCAGGTTAGGACCCCCCTCAACAGACCTCTAACCACCAACCTCATATGTCTTTCTCTGTCTTCTTGAATGGGCAAAAAAACATGGGGTCATCCCTGAGGTTCAGTCCTAGTTCAGAATTCCCGAAGGGATAAGAATGCCCCGTGATCTGAAAGTCACTCCATGGCCCTCAGCCCACAATAATTCATCATTTCCACAACTGGACCACCAACTCCTCACACCAGTTTTGAAATGCAAATGTCTCCTTCGAGCACACACACACACACACACACACACACACACACACACACACACCAGCATCCTCACAGTTTAATCCATCAGTGAGATGGTCACTGATCCTCGTCTTCCCTAGGATAGTCCTCCCTGGGTTCCACCTGATCCCACAGGGGCTTCAACATTCGTCCAGAACTGTTTTCTATCCTAAAATACCAGTTTGAAAAGGCATGTTTTCAAAAATTAATGCACTGGCATACATTATGAATGTCTTAGAACTGGAGGACAGTAGTGTCATGCTTAGAAATGTGGTCTGTGTCATGTTCTTGTCACAACCCGGTCCTCCAAAGACTTAGAGCCTCATGTAGTCATTGTGACTACTTTTGTGGCTCCCCCGAGCCCCTTCAGCAAGATTGTGTTGCCAGTCCCATTATCTCCTCCTGTGGTGTATTAGGTACTGATTGTCACTCCATGGGTGATCGTGGGTGTCCTTCCTGTGCCACAGAGGAAGGCAGTAGAGGAGGGGATGGATGTGTCTTTGCCAAATGCTGAGCCAGGATGAGCAGCAAGAGCTGCTGTTTCTTCATTTGGGCCCTGAGCTGGGACAGAAACCGTGAATGTCTGGGAAACTGGACAGATGAGTGAGTGTGGATGTTTGGACCATAACCTCCAAGCTCCACACAGCACTGTTTGCAGTCCTTTCACTTACCCTTGGTCTTCTGCCTTCCCTCTCTGGGTTCAGATGATGCTCATGGTAGGACTGGGCCTTGGCCAGTGCCCACAGCTCCTAAGTGGCAGAGTCAGCCTGAACCCAGGATATAGTCAGGGGAATTGTTTCTTGTCCATTTGATAGAGGACAGGAGGAAGCTGAAGCCAGGTAGGATTTTATGACTTATAATCTCTTCCCTTTATTAGGCTCAGATGATGGTTTTAGTGTGTGTATGGGGTGTTGTGTTAAACAGTGATAACTCTGAATGTTGCAACTTTATGCTGAATATTGAGATGTGCCTATAGCCCCTGTGCTCTGAGGCTCCCAATGTCTCCTATAGTCAGTCACTGTGACTGGACTCTTGTTTTCCTGAGGCTAACACTTATATCTTCAGCAAGTGTGTGTTACCAGTACAATTGTGCCCTCCTGTGGTTGTATTTGGTGTCAATTGGTACTCTATGGAAGCCCTGGTGTTCATTTCAGATCCTTGTGACCAATTCTGTCATTTGTTTGTATATCCTCATACATATATAGCATATTTACAAAGTGCCATGTATGTTAAGAAGGTTCACTGCTAGTCAGTGGTGAAGAGCTACCTGTAATCCTGGCACTTGGGAAGCTGAGGTGCAAGTTACCATGTGGTATCAGTCTATGGTATCATTCAATAGTAATGAGAATCCAAAAAAGAAATTTTCAATAAACCATGTAAAAAAATCAAAGACTGTAACTAATTTATTTGTTCAATGTCAGGATTTAAAAGTAAGATCTAAAGGATCTAAAGCATGAAACTGAATATGATTTCTTTAGCAATTAAAATGCTTCAGCTGGCTTCAAAAGCATACACACACACACACACACACACACACACACACACACACACACCTACCTCACCTTAACTAAAAACATAGCCCTCGGATTATTTAATTTGGAAGAAGTGAGACACTTATTTTAGGGTTCCTTAAGATGTCATCTGTTCCTGTGTTCCTTGTTCTGGACCTGCATGGTCAGAATCTCCTGGGATCCTTGTGGAAACCCATCAGGGCTCATCCATTACTGCACATTCTCACCCCAAGGCCTTTAGTACCCTGAAAGTCACCATGTAATGTTGCTTCTGCTCCTGAGGCCACACTTCATGGGCTGCTCCCCTTCTTATGTCTGAGAAGCCATGTGTGTCTGTGCTGCTGCTCTGCAGAGAAAAGGAGCCATGTTGGGAGGAGTGTAGCTGCCAGAGGGGCAAGTATCCCAGCTGGCACCCAGCAGGAGGAGGGCAGGTCATTCCTACAGATGTTAGCATCCATCTGCCTACTGTAGCAAAGGAGCAGGGAGCATAATCGAGGTCGTGAGGAGTGAGGTGTATTCTCTATTAATATTAAAAATAGTCCCACATGCATGTATGTATAGTTATTTA